CATGTTGCCGTGGTTACTAAAAATAGAAATTTCTGTGAAATTATTTATAAATGCTATCAGAAATATAGTTTCAGTTTGATTATGATATAATTTGTCATGCAGATAGACTACACTAAGATACACTAATGTATTTATTTTGTTTTTTAATTTATTTCGATGAACGAAGTTGCCATGGTAACTAAAATTGAAATTTCTTTAAAATTTTTATTAAAAGTTACTCCTAAAGTTGTAGTCTTATTGCAATATTGCCAACAAAAGACTTTGTCAAGGATCATTATTCTATTTATTGCTGTTGTAAAGTTTCAAGTCCCAACTGCAACTTTTCTCTTCCTTTATTATAAGTATAAAATAGTAGAGCCACAGTCTCGACAGAGACTTCTGGTTGGTAAAGGAGTATATCTTGATGAGTTAAAATTCAAGTTTGCATTTCGTTTCGCTGAAATTTTTTAAAGAAATTACGACCTTTTCATTTTTTTTAACAGTTCTCCGCAATATTTTTCTAAACGACTGGAGATATTGAGCTAATTTTTGGTAGATTAATAAGGATGGTTACAGAATAATATGTTCAATTAAATTTGTTATCTTTCCATTTTTTTTTTATCGATTTTATTAAGTTTTAAAAGCAAAACTGTAGTTAAACACAAATTGTACAGGTGGTACATGTAGAAATTTGAGTTGAGTTTTTTGTTTTAATAAAATAAATTCAGTATAAAAAGGGTTGCGTGCCTTTCAATGCCCCATGGATTCCTTTCTGATGATAACCAAAAAAATAAATCGGATGTTTATATTTAAAATTTTGTCTATTGTGATGTCTACATTTAAAAAAAAAACTTTTGTAGAAATCAGGTTTAAATGATTGGTTAACAAGGAGACAAACATATAGACGACAGGTATATTACCGACGACTTTTTTTTTCTTTGATATGTTTAGTAAAAAAAAAATTATTACGAGAAATTTTGGTCATTTACTTTTTGTTTTTGTTTTTAAGATCCTTTAAAGCGAGGAAAAAATTACAGAGACACTGTAATATAACATATTTTGGTGGAATGAAATTTTCGTGATTTGAGGACAAATGTGAGTCGTAGGTATTAATTTCATGGATGAAGAATTGTTGAAAAGCAATACCCGGTATCTGTGAAGAATTACATTTCACAATGGACATAAATTCGGGGTTCTCTTCATACATCGAAAACCATGAAAATGAGTGATTTCACAGTATAAAAGTTAAGTCAAAGCAACAATTTTAAACATTTAAGAAATTCTACATTTCAGGTAAAGTAATTTGACATTTGCATCATCTAAAACCAAGAAAAATCGAACATGCATACCAATCCATTCATTCAGTTTTTTATTCGTAGCAAACGTCCTTAAATGAAGGTTAAAGCATAATAAAAATATTATCCTACAACCATATCTACTTAATTCTTATGAACTCTGCTTCATCAAACATGTACAATGTGTCAACGTGAAAAATAATTGTGCACTTTTTTACACACTAAGTGAAAATAATGTTAAATTATTTATTACGTAAAGAAAATTTAAAAGAGTGAATTTTACGAATAAAATTAAGCTAGAAATACCACGTCATAGCGTGAATTTACCTTTGATTAACTTGGTTAATGTAATTTACTGAAATGGAATTTTAGAGAAAATTTCTACGAACACACAAAAAGTGTAACTAAAGTTGTTTATTATGTTAAGAAATTTAAAAAAAATGAATTCAAAGAAAAAAATTAAAATAAAACAAAAAGTGTAACTAAAGTTGCTTATTATGTTAAGAAATTAAAAAAAATGAATTCAAAGAAAAAAAATTAAAATAAAGATAGCTTATCATGTCAGAATGTGGGGTTGCCCTTAATTAACTTACTTAATGCAAATTACTAAATCTGCATTGGAATTATAAAGAAAATTTCTACGAATCCTATTCTGGGTTTGTTCGAATTTTTTATAGGTTAATTTGTACATTATGGAAAATCAAGATTATAGTCTGTAACCTTGCCCATGACTTTTGAATGGATGGGGCTATAGCATTTATAATAATAAGGTATATTTCTTATAACAAAATCTTTGTTTGGGTACCACCAACTTTGACCTTTGTCCCACGTTTACAAAAAATATCCACACTTTAACCTTGGCCATAACTGTTGAACTGTTGGCTTTAATACTTCACAAATGCATTTATTGTGACAAGACCTTTAATAGGTTTCAACAAATTTTGACCATGGCATTAAAGTTTGATCCACTTTTTAAAAATTTTAACCTTGGCCATTACTTTTGAACTAGGGTTTAATATTTCATAGATGTATTCTACGTGAAGACCTCCCTTTGGATACAGCATTTTTGACCTTGTTTTGCTAAATAATTTGTACAGACCTATAAATATCTGAAACACATGCCTGATTTGGTAAAAATCAATTTAATTGTCTTGCATTCTGATTTGTTTTGAAAGCAATTCCTTTTGAAGCATTTTTAGATACACTTTATCTCTTTGGATACAGAAATGATATTCCTTAATCAATTTGGCATATAGCATTTCATATTTTTATTCTCTAAATGTAATATATTTGACGAATGTCGTTGTACTATTTTCCGATTTCGAGATACCGAGGATGGTGCAATCGCCTCCTCTTTAATTATATACAGTAATTAAAAAAAAATAGGTGAAAGTTAAAACGGAGATTCTTAAAAACGTATACACTTGAAAAAGTAAAAACTTATATCTGCCTATCTATGTAAAATAATATTAGATATGTTTTATTGTATGTTGTTTCACTCATTTGGAGAAGCCTAGATATGTTTTAAGAAATTAAATTTCTTTCGTGAATATTGAATGAACGTAATAACTAGCTGTCAGTAACAATGTCAGAATGCAAAGTTCTTCCTATAAGTAAAATACTATTGGAAACATTTTAAAAGGGTAAATTACTATAAGAAACATTAAAGAAAAGTAAATTTAAGCAATTAAGTTAAGAGAAAGCGAATTACTATCGAAAACATTATGTCAAAGTAAATTACCAACAGGGCAACTGGTTCGTATTCTTAAGAGCATTACGACTTCATCGTGTACGAATAATTAACAAAATTATCTGACCCTAAAATACAACTTTAAGTTGTTAAACAAATTGATTTATGAAAATAAACAAAAATCTTACGTTTGTTAACAAGAAAACTGTCAGGTTTATGGTTTTGCTAATGAACTTGGTTTTCTTTTCAAAGAAATCAAAATAGACTTGAAATCAGTTTGATGTATCATATTGCTGTAAGACAGTCAATAACATCAATGATTGAATGCATATCAACGCCATCAATAAATCAATACACAAAATATATTCATGAAAACTAGTTTTCATGCCCCTGATATACCATATAGTGGATGAAACAGAACCTCACTTATACATTAAATTTTAATGATTATGTGGGATTCAACAATAATGATATGCATTGTATTTCAAAAAAGTATTAAATTATACCATTTATCCATAGAAAACAAAGAAAGAAGTCTCAGAATAAATTTATATTACACTGGTTTGAACAAATAATAGTGATTTTTAAAGGAGAAATTAACAAATCTAACTCAGAAACTAAATCTAATTGATGGATAAGAATTGTTTTATAACAGTATAGACAGTCAACTTTCAAAGAAAAAAAACTATTTTGACTTTCGACAAGAAGCGTGAACCAGCAGTCTTTTATTGAAACCAGGAGAATGCTGTGGAAGATATATTTTGGCTTAATATATTCTACAAGTTCACCTATATCTATTGAAGCCAAACCATATCAAAACTTTAGGAGGAAAATCATTTTAAAAATTGTGTAGACGAACTACAGTCTCTTTATTAATATTCTCGAAAAGCATTCTTGGTCTCTGACCAATAGAGAGTCTAAAAAGATCTTTCAAAGTCAAACTAGGATAAAATCTAATATCTAAACTTATCAACTTCCTACAAAACTTGCAATAAATATGAAAATGAATACGGTATGAAAATAATTTAATTACATAATATGGCTAAGTGGAAAACAATTGCCAGAGTATCGCTGTGTGAGGTTGATCCTTTCGTTGCGGGTTCGAATCCTACTGACGCCGATACCGGTTCTCTGGATTAAACCGTATAAACGAGGTCCTATGTCGCAGAGGGTACTGGTATGAAAAAATTCCCTCTCTAGTCAGAGGTCGTACAGTTGTAAATATGCAGCTTTCCAATGATAAGTGTTGGTGACTCAATATTCATATGAAATTCTAATAAACATTTAAAAAAAAAACAACAACCAGAAAAAAAAACCAATCCTCAAAGGACCAGAAGTGTTTTTATATCACCTACCGTGCAAAATAATATATATATACATATATAAAATTTTAATTGTGTAAGTTGATTAAATAATGTTTAACACTGAGGTTTATAGAGGATAAATAATTAAATTATTTAAGCAACTGCTAACGACTACTAATACTTCATCATAATGGATTTAATATCATTTAAATCTTACCACAAGATGTTAATGTTGGATTTAAAAAAAAATACTGAATTGGTAATTCTCTCATTATTTAATATAGATTGGTTAATTTATTGATTGCTTGATTGATTATTGTTTGAAGTCGAATTGGCAGTATCTAGGTCATAATTCGGCGTTCAAGCAAATAAGGAAAACATTTACAATTTCCTCAAACAAAAACCTGAAAGTCTGCATTTCTTACTGAAATTATGAATTCTTAATTATAAAAGAAAAAGAAAACTAGGAAGGAGAACATTGTAAGAAAATAATATGTATTGTCTTTATTCTTAGAAATAAATTTTAAGGAAATCTGGTACCGGTTTCATTCTTAACAAGTAAAAAATTACACTAGAGAACATTGTGTTAGGGCAAATTACAGTAACTATTCAGTACATATATGGTAAGAAAAAGGTTTTTCTTTTCCTGAAAATTGAATAAGTTCGTTGTTCACTTATAAAATGACATTTTATTTCTTCATGTTGCTCAATTAATCTTTATTTCAAATTCAACACAAGATGGATACAAAAATCACTCGTACTCCTCTATAATCTTATTCCAGCGTGCATCAATGTCTGATTTTGGGATCTCCCACAGCATACTAATTAATGGCCAACCACGGGTTGCAGTATTAAGGACATATGTGTTGTTAGGATCCATATAATAGGAGTAGGCTCCCATGACCAAGGATTGCGCAATCCTTGCGCAGACGCAGGCCTTCATAACGTCCCTCTCTGTGCTATTTAAACTGCGTTCTGACAAATATCCAGCTAGCACATGTCCCCCTACATCTTTTTGGTCCATTTCATGACATTTTATGGACATGTAGGCGATGCAAATAGCAACATCGAAAACCAAGTAAGACAACGCAACGTCATTGAAGTCTATAATCGCTGCTACGTCACAAACACGTGACTCTTGTGGCACGCTGTCTTGCCCAGCACAATCTTGTACTATGATATTGCTCTCGTTCAAATCGCCGTGTATCATACCTAAACAAGTAGTTTGAGAAATTAAAAAAAATATCAATTTCCAAGCAATTATTAATGCATACATGTATATTTCAAAAGCATACAAAAAAATGATGAAAGCGTCTGGAAAAATAACAATGGCTCGAGACCCTGCCAAGATTCTCTTTCAAACCTCTGTTTATAGGCATTGCTTAAAATGAAATTGATGAAAGAATAAAAAAGAATACAAGAACACCTTCAAAGTTTATCATTTCAACTTAAGTTTCGAATAACTTGGTAACACATCTGGTCATCAAACTCTTTTTCTCAGTTTCATTTCCTTCCCTTTCATAGGACGTTATTCTTAAATTTACCTGTAGTCGAAATACTTTTAACATTCCAGTCAACAGACGTACACCTGAATAAACACTCCTACACTAGATTCCAAAACTCATGAAAAAAATTGGATGTTTAAGAAGATAGAGAGAAAATAATGGCAAACTAATGGCTAAACCTGAGTATAAACATGTTAAATCAACTTTTTCTTCAGTAATCTCTATGATATAATTACATGACTGAATAACGCCTGCATGGTGCAATGGCAAGAGCGTTTGCTCTATGGTCAAAGAGTGAGGAGTTGATCCTTACGATCTTACGTAGCAATAGCACATAATGAAGTGCATGTTTATCGCCCGCGTGTCGCAGTGGTCAGAGCGTTTGCTCTATTGTCGTGGAGTAACGTGTTGATCCTTAGCGCGGTTTCCATTTCTGAAGACTGAGACCAGTCTTTCGGATGAGATCGTAAAGTGCCAAGTGCAGGTCTAAAGTCACAGTCCTTTATCGTTAAGTGGTAACGTCTCAATTTAATCATAAACTCTAGAAAGGACATTCAACAACAGTTAAAAAGAAAACTGTATTTCTTTCATGTAGTAATTCTTCACCATGAGTGTGGTTAAAGTCTTCCAAGAGATCCACACAAAAGAGCATATTTCTGTTAGAATGAAATATGTCAATAATGATTGGATATCAAGTTGAAAAGTCCATTCATACAATAGATTATTTGTATCAGGGGTGGGATCAGATGCCTCGGAGAAGAAAGCATACGCACACCCGTTTGTACGGTTATGTGCTTCTCGTCATGATCGAGTAACGGAAAAATCATTCAGCGCTGAAATAATGGTCTAACAAATTGCATAAAACGTCGACAGATTAGGGCAATTTTATCGACCAGAATTATTGCGAAATATGACTTTAAACGTTTACAAAACTGTCGATATCCTTGTTTCATAAGCTAACTTGTTATAACCGTCCTCGTTTTAGGAATGTTTCGTACGTATAGTATATTGCTCTTTCATATCGATTTTAGTGGGAAAACCTAAAATCTAATAACTGTATATTGCTACATAAGTAAGGAAAGTTGATAAGAAAAAAATTAAATTCATCACGTTTACCAATAAGTCAAGTCATGTAGTAAGATGTTTTTCATATTCCTCCTCAATACCTTTACGAGATTCCAATAATAATCTGATACTTTAAATCCATATTCTGATCAACAAAGGTTTGTTCTAAACTCTCTTAGATGTTTGGGCCATCGCCTAACATCATCTCCCACACATAATTCATATTTAATTATCATCCTACGCCTATTGAAAGATCAGGTTTCACTAGATGTTTTAGGTTATTATTATTAACTTTATTTACGTCACCAGTTATGACGTGTCCAGCTAGAATATAGCTATAGGGTGAAGAAAAATAATAACACGTTGGAAGAAAATATTTCGATTCAGATGTTTCAATTAGGTACTTTAAAACTTTTTGTTATAATACTAAAAAAGTATGTACAGTCGATTGACGATGTAGATTTATACGAAATGCAATTAGTGGATTTCACGTTGAAATATGAGGGAATATAAAAATGTATCCTTTACAAATTAATATAAATATGATTATACATGCGTAAATCATTTTGCAATGTACTTGAACTAGCGGGTGCTGATTTTTCCACAAAGGCAGCTGCATAGAATATACATCTTATATACAGTCAAATACAAAACGTTCACAATACTTGCTTGCTTGTCTATTAAGGATTTTTGGAGATTGTTTCTGTTTAATTATCCCCACCTTTTTCATTAATAAATTCATAATTCATAATAGTTGTTTAATCTTGATCCCGGTATATAAATCGACATGTCTGAGAAAGCAAGATATTGAAGATGCATGAAATACTAGTATATGAAGGTAACGAACAGCATTCAAGCTCCATAGTTCCATTGAAACAATACATATTAGGAGCAATGCAACCCTCCAAACATGAGGTGGGATCAGGTGCCATGAAGGAGTGACAATCCTCTGCCGATCGGTCATCCTTGCCATGATCAGAAAAACCTAGACAATGCATCTTCTACACATGACAAGGCCAAGGCAGCTTCCTGACTTATCTGAATATTCAACCTAACTGAATTTGAAAAACCGATATATCTAACTGTTCTTCTTACCTTTTGTGAGCTTGTCATATTTTGGAACAACTTCCTTTGTAAATGCGTCAATGATCTCAATCATAAGGGCTTTCCTCTTCTCATCTTGAATTCCGACCAAGAAGTCACGTAAGCGTTCTACTTCAGTCAAATTCCACATGAATTTGTAATTATCGAAGAATCGATGGTGAAAACCCTAAGACAAAAACGCGAAATTCCTTTTTATCATTTGATCAAAAAAGTACACATAATCTAAAAGTTATTTAATAGATTTATACAAATGATTTTTTTAAAGAATCATGATTAATTTTATATATAATTCTATATTTTTATTAATTATAACTCAAAATAAACTTGTATCTTATTCTACCTCATTATTTTCCCAATGACACAATTCTAACGGAGAAAAAAAAGGATTTCACACAAAGGGCCCACTTATTAACAATCCAATGTGTTTTTTTTTTCTCACTCGGATATAATTTTGTAACAAAAACACAACACAGAGAACATTTTGTAAAAAATATAAATTTCAAAAAAAGTATTCATTATAAGTATCAATATTAATGTATGCGAAAAAAGATAAATCAAGGGTTTGTAGGGGGTTGTGTATGCATATAAATATTTACATTGGACTTACCTCTAACGAGTGGTGCAGTTTTCCGAGTGATTTGCCGATGTTATACAGACTTCTTGGCAATGTTGGTTTTTCAAAGAAGGTCACTCCTGGAACGTATGTCAACAGACGGACGAGGTAGAAATGGTAAGGGGTCGAATCTACAGAAAATATAACATTTGTCAGGAAAAACGAAAACAATTTTTTTTTCTGTTTTGTTCCTCAGATAATACTAAAGCCAATTTTGCTAAGAGTTTTTGTTTTTAATTTATGAAATATGGAGATGACTAACAGTATTCAAGCTTAAAGTCCATTTAATTAAACAATACAAAATCGGGAGCAGACCAAAGACAGATCCTCCAAAACATTAAAGGTGGGATCATGTGCTATGGAGGAGTGAGCATCCCTTGCCGACCGGTCACCCGCCATGTGCTTCATTTCAGTTGAATTTTTTTCCTTTATTTATTTAAGGAATATTTTAAAGTTTTGTGTGGTTTATTGGAGTGTAAATCACAGAGACTTGTTAAGTAGGCATATTTCATGAAGCGGACTATTTACATTTAAGATGTTTACCAGTACCAAAATATACTCAGTGTTTGAATTTCTCGCTGCCCTATATTGTTGTATTTGTATCAATATCACTAAATGGTTTTCAAATCGGCTTAGTAGAAAAAAAACAGCAAATGTAAATATTTGGCATTA